CCCTCAAACCCGTGACAGGAACAAAGACAGGTCAAGTACTAGTTCAAGGCATCGGACACCTTTACAAGAAGCACTTTTTAAAAAGACGTGAGACGACTGATGAAGCTCCACATCCATTTTTATGACTATTTAAAGAACTTCTCGTTCATGTTGGCTCAGAGAGTAAAGTTCAATTCCATGACACCTGAGTGGACTCCATCTGCTGATGAAGATCATGTGATATGATCGAGAGCTCAAGATTGTGTCAGATTGTAAAATACATTCATTACACTGGGTGATGAATGGTAGGAGCAGTATTGGTACTGGTGAGTTTGTACTGGGGAGTTCAAGTGTTTCCATTATTTTGTCCATCAGCTGTATTTCTTTACACTTGTGTACTATGTGTACTTGTATAACTGCAGAGCGGAAGCCGTTTTCTTGCTCTAAAGCTCATTGTGTGTGACCGCTGTTAGCACTGGAATGTGGACCATGTGGACTGGTCTAAACTGGGCCTCTAATACCACATTTAAAAAGGTCAACAAAGGTGGGTTTTTTTTTTTATTATTATTTATGACATTTACTACAAACCCCACATCCACTTGCATCACTTTCCAACCCATATCGCAGTGGTTTGTTTTGTTAATAAGCATTTCTCACCACTCAGACATTTGTCTCATTTGTTTCCACTATTTCTGCTCACTATGGAAATCAGCCTGCAGAGACATGAGCCTCTGATGGGTCATGATTTTCAAATGGTAAATGAAATTATCATATTAAATAGTTTTTGCGACCACTGTCTTGTCTTAAAAAAACTGATTTTCTTTCTCCTTTTACTGGTGCCTGGTAGATAGAAAACGTATTACTGCCAAGTGCTGCTGAAGCCTGTGTGGCGCTTTGAGATAGATGCTACTGTACAAACAGGAGAAACATGCAAAGCCAAAGACTCCACCAGCCATCAAAACGTTCTGTGTGCAACATTATATATCTACCTCAAGTATGCACTATGTTCAGGATTTAGACATGTTCAAATCATTATCAGTATCATTATGGCCTGGTTGAGGTCAGCGCACATTGTTGTGATACCGACTGAAACAATAAACTCACACAAGCTCCTTTTCAGCTGTATTAACACTGATATGTTGCTGTATGAGAAATACAGAAATCATTTTGGCCTATATCCCAATAACCAGAGGAGAAATGATCCATGTGTCTGTGTGGTTGATGGGGGAAGAGGTGGTGCAGCTCATTATACCCCATGCTTTATGAGGTTTTCAGGTTTAACAGGTGTTATTGTGTATTATAGCTCAATCAGAGAGAAGCACTACATCGCTAAAGAACTTGATACCAAAACAGTTTGTGCACGAGAAATTGTTGCGCCTTTTTTCCCCCAATGAATATGAAATAGTATATTTTGCTCCCTAATAGGAGGATATGTGAACTGTGATAGATGACCTCAGCCATGTCAAGTCTCCAACGTAGTGGTTGACTCATTGTTTAGATTCTACTGTTTGAACAGGAGCTTTAAGTTCATCTGTAAACTCACACATTAGGACACATGTGGCAACATCACTCTACAACATCATGGTAAACACATGTAACCAGTGCAGTGGGACAGTTACTCTATTCATGTGTTGCAATCATGTAACTACTGATGGCATGAAGATGTGCCTACAGGAAGTTACTTAACACCAGCACAGGACTTCTGCAATAAACTTCCCAGACATTCTGCACCTAAACTACCTAAACATGACAAATGACCATGCAACATTTTCAGAGGCTGTAAAGAGAAGTAAGACACCGTTGGTATGAGGACCCACATATTTGAGGAAATATGCTTGTTATGAGCCATTTTCAGAAAAAAGGATTTTAATCAGTTTAATCTCTGCACAGATATTTCCTCAAAACAAAACAGAAAACAACGTTTCAGCTACAAAACTGCCTCGTTAGCAAACTATACATTCAAGAATCACATGGGTTTGTGAGGTGACAGCAACTTTACCATGACAACAGGACCTCTAACATGCTACATGCTAATGCTTAAGCTAAGGGTACATCCTCCATCCATACATATATTAAATACACATACAGCTATGGACGGCTCTGGGAATGGTTTAAATGTTAGTTTATATAAATATAGAAATACTAAAGGTAATATGATACCTGAGCAAACAATACACTTTTTATACACTGCGTGTTTAACAAAACTAAGAAGCTGAGTTCTGAAATGTTGTCAAAACACAAGCTGCTGTACTAGAGTTTTGTCTAAATTAAGTACAGGAATAAGGGAATTAGATTAGGAATCTGACGGGACAGTCTTTGCCTCCTTTCAGGACTTTTACCGTTTTTGATACTCTGTGCCTCAGATACATTCCTCAAATAAAGAACTGAAGTTAGATATCCAGCCCTAAACACAACATGCAAGAAAGACATCTGAGCAGTGTTAGAAGGTACCTCTGATGGAGCTAGGTTAGCTATGCTGCTAAGCTATGCAAGATAAGCCTTGAGGCTACCTCAGTACTGAACACAAACAAAACTGATACCAACAACTTCTCATCTAACTCCCAGTAAGAAAGGAGCTGAGATATTTTTGCAAACTGTCTAAGAATGCTAATAAATCCATTTTCCATAAATACACCATATGCTTTTATTTATATGTCTGTGATAAATTGACTGAGAAGCAAAAAGAAATGTCAGAACACAAATGTCAAAAACATTACCACGTTTCTCCATGACAAACAGTTTACAAAGTAAAATGTCCTGCTCACTACATATCCTGATCAAAATATTTAAAAAGCAAATTTAATGGATATATATCAGCTGATCAATTGTAATCAGATTTATTTAAGATAACACAAATATCAGTATTGGCCTCAAACATCAGTATCAGTCGGGTTACATTAATAATTCTGAAAGATGGGTTGCCTCTTATTTAGATGAAGCACTTGGGCTTATAAAAGTTAAAAAGGGCAGCCACAGATTACATTCTGCACTTCATGAATGTCTACTATTCATAGCCGAGATGTTTACAGTACAGCCAGTAGAATAGCTCTGTATGCCAGAGTGAGTAAACCACTGCAAATTCATCAGGGCTCTGATGCATTAGTCAGACTACTGCTGCCAACAGTCACTTTGAAGTTTATCAAAATCTAACCTTGACAATTAAAGGCAGCTCAGGGTCAGATAAACACACTGCAGTTCAGCACGCTCCAGCACAGATGACTCTTTAAACCCACAGATCAGGGCACTTATGGTTCACTTTGACAAAACCATCTTCCAAGAACAGTCATCAGTCACATGCTGCTACGAGCCAAGTGTCCTTCCAGCCGCACGCAGCAGCTGATTTCACTGAAACAACAGCCACAGAGCAGAAACTAATCAGACAGGTCGGCTGTTGCTGAGTTCGCCTGGAGGGAACACTTGCATGATGGGACATGATTGAAGCTCAGACTGATAGAGCTTTCATACATGTACTGCAACCATGACTTTTCAGAGGAGCTGTGTGTCCCAATCAGTTGGACCGGACATTAAACGAAGGTCACCCTGCCAAAGAGCGGGTCATTGTCCGCAGTATTCACAGCGAGGAAGTGAGTGTGCTGAGGACATTTCTATCCTGTCTCCTGCAGGCTGTACCTAGGCGCCACCTCCCGCATTAACCCAGTGGAGTATTTCCAGTAGGTGAGGATGTGTCTGACAGGGACGATCTCTGCTTGTGTGAAAGAGAAACTCCGGGCCTCATTCATATGAGAAAACAACTCGAGTTAAAGCCACTGACCAACTGACAATTACACCATATGGTCAAAAGTTCATGGACATCAAGGCCTATATACTTGAGGTCAGGGGTCAGGAGTGGACACTGGATGTCACCGTTTACAATGTTCTTCAGTGTTTGTGTCAGCAGTTGGTGTTTGTCCCTTTCCTGTGTCAACACGACAAAGCCCCGCTACACAAAGCCAGCTCCATAAAGAAATGGTTTGGCCAGCATAGAGCCCTGAGTCCTGACCTCCACTCTACCCACACCTGTTGGATGAACTGGAACACAGACTGTGAGCCTGGCCTCATCACCCAACATCAGCACTGGGCCTCACTAATGCTGCTGTTGGAGCAGTCGGGCTATTCTTCTGTGGAAAACCTTCTGAGGAGAGTGGAGGCTGCTGAGCGCCTCCAACTATCACATATGAAGGAAACGTGACAGGCCCACATACATATATATCTGGCCATATAGTGTATAAGGCTGACTGATATGCAAAAAAATCATATTGGGATTATTTGACAGATAATGCAATTGCAATGAGTCACAATTTTCACTGACAAAAATATAAAAATGATGATGATGTGGTTTTTGCTGCAGTTTGTACCAAACAAACATGTTGCTACATGTCTGGGGTATATATTTTGCAGGCCTGGTGTCTCTGCAGCACCACAGTGCTTCATTTATAATGATATATTGCAACACATTTTACCATTATCAAAAAAAACTGCAGCCTGTTCAGCCTTACTAATGAACCTACAAACGAGGGTGAATTATATGGAAAAAAAAAATACAAATCAAGAAAACTGATTAAGTTTTCACTGCACACTACACAACAGCCACTTGTAACAAAAAATGGCTTTCAGTCAGAATGTGCCATTCACCAGAGAATCACCTGACCAGTAACAACACCTGTAACCAACCTCAAGTCATTTTAATAAGACATCAGCCTCCTTTCAACCACAGACTGTCTCAGGACTGAAGTCTGTCCACGCTAGTGAAACACAAAGCAGTGGTGCAGACTTACTGTGACCTAGAAGGAGCATTCAAGGAAAAGACTGCCAGTTTCTACGCACAGCACATGGCCTGGAATGAATTCAAAGTCTGTGGTATTCAAGGATGATTTGAGGGAATGAAATCTGGACAGTCCTCTGGGAGAGGGTGGTGTACAGTCCCTCTTGATACCAAGACGTTTTAAGCTGATTTATAGCCTGATATTATGAGCGGTAAACCCGCCCGGCGTCACGACTCTCTCAGCCCGTGTGGCGCTTACCTTGTCCAGCTCATCGTGCAGCTCCGACAGGGTGGGTCTGATGAGTTTCTCCCCCAGCGGTGCAGCTGTCTGCCGGTAGAAATCGATGTTGGGCACGGCATCGATGGTGTTGTGACCGAAAGTCCTTAGGTAGTAGGTGTTGGTGTGGGTGTCATAGTGATAGTGATGCTGGCCGCATGTGGATGAATGCAAGCTCGTCTCGCTCATCACCGTGTCCCCGTTCTGCAGCCCCTCAGCCGGCGGTGCCTCCGGAGAGGCCGCGCTCCCCGCTCCGCTCGGATCCGCGAAGTTCACCACCCGAAACCGGCCTTTGGCTTCCTCTCCACCGGCCCCCGAATCAGCACCCGGACACTCTTGAGGAGCCTTTTCGCCGGATAGGACCGATGAGGAGGCGTCAGAGTTCGGGGACTTGTCTTCGGCGGCGCCCGCTGCCTCAGCCACAAGGTCCACCTGGAAACGGCTCTGACTGGGCGTCGGACCGGGCGGCCTCTGCCCTGCATCAGGGGCTAGAAAATCATGTTCTGTCGCAGTGTTCTCTGGCGGGGCGGAAGGCGCGGAGGATGGCGCAGACATGGCACAAGAAGAAACACCAATGAACGCGAAAACCGTATAGAAAAAGCCACGTTATGGCCAGTTAAACTAACTGGAGGAAGTGTGGAAGCCCGGGAGACGCCCAGTGAAAAACGAAGAACTGGCTTCCTCTGTCCGGGGACGAACAGGCTGCTCCGCCAGGTCAGAAAAGGCGCAAGGCAGACGTTCGCAGAGCGGTAATAGTGAACGATAGCTCGCTAGCTAACTCGGAACATGAGGCTACAGGCTGGAAACTTTCAGCCACTCTCCTCCTCCGTCTTCTTCTTCTTCCTCTGAGGCAGTAAATCTAAAATCCCCCGGGTTACTTTCCCTCGCTCGCAGCCACTGGACTAAATCCCGTCCAGCTCTGGTCTTTCTGTTGTTCGGAGAAGGATGCTGTTGTCGACCTTGCCGCAGCTCCTCCTAGACTCCCAGAGCTTCCCTCGCTGGTATTATACACACTGCAGTCGGCATCACTGAAGGGTGGGCTCCCGCTGTGAGCGACCTCGCGAGATGTCATCGATCGCGTCTCCTTTCTTTTTTTTCCGGAGGAGGGAAATGTCGCGAGAAGACATCACAATACCCAAACAGGAGGCGTTACGTCGTCAGGCTCCCGTGGGAGGAAGAAAAGGGGCGGAGGAGTGGAGGGTGAAATTGCACCAACAGGCCGACCAATATCTCTCTGTGTACCGCTGTGGTTAGTGTGTAGATGGGTTAACACTTCCTTTGTTGAAGTGTATTGTAGCTAAGGTGGTCCAAGCCTTTTAGGGCCTAACCAGAAAATTATTTATTCACCACACCTGTGCCTCAGGCCCCCCCCCCCAGCACATATGTTAACCTCTATTAGGTCACAGTTAAACATATGTCACAGAAACTGCAGTGCAAATGTAGTCACACAGCTGTTCGAGTAGGCTAACCTCTGGAAAAATGATAGAGGCAGCTGTTATTCAACAGCACAGCATTGGGTACCACTTTACAATAAGACTACCCTTATAAGATATTTATAAATGGTTCACAATTAGGTTATTAATTTTGTTGTTAAAACTTTATAAATCATAAACTACAATTAACAAGTTTTAACACCGTTTTCATACATTGATGCAGCTCACTATTTGGCAAGATCAAGTTAATGCTCACTACTCATTAATCTTACCAATGAGTTACTACCATTTATAACTGGTAAAAGTAGTAAGTCATTAATAAATGATGATGTGTTTTACCCTTTTACCAGTTATAAATGTTTGTCACTGATAAGTAAGTGGTTGTAAAGATGAGAAGAAGAAACATGAAGATGATGGAGGCAGAATAACAAAGATGTAAACAGTGGGACAAAGAATGGGTGAGCAGTTCACCAGGTAAAGGAAGGTTCCCACCTGTGTTCTACCTGGATGATAAAGTCCTGAAGAAGAGACCAACAAAACCAGCAAAAAGCATCTGCATGTTAATATCTGATCAACAGCTGTGATTATAATGAGGACGGCTCCTGAGAGCATGTCAAGGTAAACAACACTGCCCAGGCCTCAGAGGATGAATCTGCTCATTTGATATGATCATGTGATCTGCCATAATTTGATCTGCCATATGCAACTGTTTGAGCATTAAGATGCTGATGGTGGTTCATTGATAGTAACTGAACAAAAGTGATGAAGCAGCAGGTACAAATGCTGATGATGGAGAAAACAAAGGAAGCTCAGTAACTAATGAGACATGAGGCTGAACAGTACAGAGACATGTGGGCTCACTATTTGGCAAGCAGCAGGTCACTGTTGCCCTTTTCATCTAACATGTTATAACAGCTAATAAATGATTTATAAGTGTTAAGAAGCTAATTAATAAACTAGTTATACACCATTCCTAAATGTAAAGTAGTACCCAAACATTGTTCCATGCATCTTTAGTGGCATCTAGTAGTGGCATTAGAGATGTCAAAAAGAACACAACAAACCAACATAAAATCATCTAAAACAAATTGATCTTTATGTAGAAATGATCTTTTCAATGTTCAAATGTACAGAGCACCAGTCAACCAGTAGATCTACATGAATGAAAACTAACCCAGCCCTCAACAAGGTTAGGTGCAAAACATTTCAGTACTTCAGTATTTAAACAAACAGAAAACACAAGTATAGTAAAGTAAACATACAAAATTAGATACATTAGATTCAGTAAAATGCTCAAAATGTTGAACAATGATTGAAAAAGTAATTAAAATTTAAGAAATTATTACTTTTTTCTTTTTAATATTTGTAGAATTTAAAAATACAAGTAAAAACCCTGCATTCAAATACTTAAATAAAAGTAGAGAAGTATTATTGGCTAAATGTGTCAAAGTATTTATGCAAAGCTATTGTTATGTTATTGGATTATTATTACTGATTCATATGTGTGATTAGTATTTAACTGTGAGGTGTGAAGCTAATTTACCTACTATACTGTTGGTTATTTTAATCAATAACAATGCATCATATTTTATAAGCTGATCATGTGTTAAAATCGTAATCAGAAAAGTATATTTAGTTACAGCTGGCAGATAAAAGTAAAAAGTATAAAATTTCAAATGTTTTAGGGTAGAAGTGGAAAGAGGAATAAAATTGAAATAATCAATCAATACAGTTATACTCACTGTGTTAGTTACAATCCACCACTGATTATAACTGATAGTGAAAGATGAAGATTCATAGTGAAAAAACAAGTATAAGGCGTGACTGTGCTGTAGATTACAACAAATCAACATAAAAGCAAACAAAGTGTGTCCAGCCCACAGCTCTCATACCATTGTATTTGGCTGCAGCAGGCAGCTGTTCTCAGATACAGCAAGCAGACACAATCAGAGAGCAGCTGGTGAACATAGTGGAGCATTTAGCAGCTAAAAAGCCAGATATTTCCCTCAAAGGCTGAATGAGACTAAACACAGTGCTAAAAGAGAGGGAACACTGGACTTAGATTCATCAGGTGACACAAACGCAACCTCAAATGAATGATAAGTTCCTCTTTATCTACAGAATGTGTAAATAAGCAATTGTTTGATGACAAGTTTGCTGTATGAATTCAAAGGTCTTAACTTGTTTTTGCCAAAAGAAATCAGTCACTACAGGTTTAAGAGAGGAAACCACTTTAGATTTCAGGGGGGCAGGTGGGCGGGGCTTGGGGCATGGCTGAGAGCAGGGACTGCTTTGTGTTGACATCACAAAGTTCCAGAAGTCCTGACGACTGGTTTTAAGGCTCAGTTTCTGAATACAGGCTGTGTGCATTTCTCTGTGGACTGAGGCACACATTTTGTCTAAAATTAGATGAGTTCTCCTTTAATCCATTGGTATTTTAATTCTCCAACCTGTAGTGATATTTCAGACAATGATGTTATTTCGCCTTTGTGTCAACAGCCTGTGTTTGTCCCTCTCCAGTTTCAATATGACAGTGTACACAGAAATGTAACATATGACATTTATGTCCCTATATCAAGAGTGATGTTGTCATATATGTCACCTGTAGGGGATATATTATTATCATATATATACAAATATATAAAGACTTAAGTCATAACATATCGGAAATATTCACAGTAAACTTTATATATTAAAATGAGCTATATGATGAATTTTCATATGATATAACATATTTCGACCATATTTGTTAACAATGAATGTTTAATTTATAAATGCAAGTTTATTAAAACAACATGCTTTATAACTTTTAATATACATTTAAAATGTAGTAGTTTATATATGTTTTTCTTATTAATTTTACACATTCTATCTTTTGTATAAATATATATTATATCAACATAATGAAATGCTTTGGCATGGACATATATCTATGTAACATATGTCTACCATATAAGCATACATACATAAAGGTATGTATAGACATAGTATATTTCAATATAACATATATGCAAATGTAATATATGTGCATATATTTCATTTGCATATGGGCAGGTTTCCAACATATGGAGGAAACCAGAACACATCCACATCCTTCATTCTGACCTATAAAATCCTGTAGTAACGGCCATGTACAGTAATGTAGCTAAAGGATGATTAAATTCTCCATCATCAGCTTAGTTTTGCAGGATGTGTCACTCTTCAAATGTGAGTTTAAATTACTTTTCATCACAATATCTTACAGTAAAAAGACAAGAACCAAGCAGAAATAACTCTAAATGAAAAGAGGTTAGTGTAAGGAGCGTGAGCTGACCCACTGATTATGCTGACCTTATGATAATACCTTGTGAGACATCATCGCTCCACTTTGTCTCTCAAATTGAATCACTATAATCAGGTTTAGCTGTTCTGGTGGTAAATCGAATTAGACTTATTGACTTCATACTCATCAACAACTTAATGCTATTACAATTGCCATTAATACAAAATACGATGTTTTACAGTTTTTACACACAAAGTAGCTGGATACACCCCCGCCATTACCTCATAGCATAGCTCAGTTAGTGAGGGTGGAGGGTGAAGACTAGGCTGATCAACAAGGGCCGACATTAAGGCTGAATCCCAGAAAGTTTATATGAGGATGAGTTTTTGCTTTTGTCAAAATAAAGGCTGTTATCAACAGAACTGACTGTTAAAGGCGTATTCTGTCACCTGTAACCTTTACATGCAAAACAGTGTTTGTTGCTCTTTAAACAGTGTAGACTACAGAGTTTACGCAGCTCAGTGAATATTTGTGGGTCAACACATTAGTTATGATGTCATATACATTCACTGCTGCCACCACTGACCAAGTACAGGAGGAGTGTGTAATATCAAGTGTTTCCAAATCACAATGAAAAATGTTACAGAATAAACCACTGTCTCTTTCTGAAGTAGGAAACTTTATTGATCATTTAAAAGGTGACAGGATGGAAATGGAACAGTTTCATATCCAGGCTGCCAGCATCAAATCAATGGACAATCAACTGAATGAATTGTCATCCTGTTTCTCCATGTTAGGATTGTCACCCATTGGGCCCGGTCCCAATGGGTCCTGTATCCACCAGCGCTTGGTTTGTCCATTCTGGGCTACTGTAGAAACATGAACACGACGGGCTCCGTGGAAGAGGAACTTCTCCCTATCTAGATAATAGGAGTGTAACGATCCTGAAACTGAGACAGAAACCTCCATACAAATATCCATGATGCTGAAAACAAAGGCCACTTTGTCTTGGTGAAATCAACACTAAAACTAAATAAAAAGTAAACCTGAAAGCTGTAAAAACAAGAAAAGTGTTTCAGTGAACAGGTCAGTGAATCCACAGGGATGTGCAGTGATGCTAGGTTAGCAGTAACAGCTGTACTAGATCAGATTAGAGAGGGTGGTTCTGTTCAGATAGTTTGGGAATGCGGTGAGTCAGTCTGTGTGTTACTGCAGAGCAGATACATGGACACTGTGACAGACACATACAGTAACTGTGCACAGAG